CGACGACCAGCTCCAGAAGTTTCGATACCAAAATAATCACATGGGATCTTTTCCAAATGATAACGATTGTAACGAAGTAATGAATGATGATGATGGAGTAATGAGTGATAATGGGGATGATGATAATGTGAGGGGGGATGATGATAACGATAGATGAACAAATTATGAAGAGTGGAGCGGCGGCATCCATAAGTGATGAGTATTAGGTTTTTTTTTTTTTTTGTTCTCTATTTTATATTACTTTATAAAATTCCATAACAATAAATGAAAATAGATTTAGTCTTCAAATAAAAGATAAAGATAATCTAAATAAATTAAACTTATTCATCAATTGTATATATTTAGAGTAAATCTATCTTTTATTTACTCTAACAAAACCAAACTTGATTAATATAACACCTTGATAGGATTGGAGGTTGTGTTGGTGGGTCATTGTGTAGACGAGTAATATTGAATTTGACTATTGGTTAAACTTTGCTCAATAGAAGTGAAAACGAAAGTGATTTAGGTAATTAACGAGAGTGGTGAATAATGAAGGGGATTGTCAATTACCCTGTATCTAATAATAATGGCAATGATAATGATAATAATAATAATAATAACCATAAGACTCGAAGAGTTATATATTGGGTAAAAAAAAAAAGAGAGTTATTGTTGGCATCAACAACATCATTTTGTTGGGTTAATTGATTTTTTTTTTTGGTTAATTTCTTAGCTTTTATATAATCAACATCTCATAAATGAAACTTATCCCATTTTTTAAATTTTGATGCTCATTAATTCAATCGGAAGATTCTCCTGTTTGCTCGTCGTTTGCTGTGTATTCTCCCAATATTTGTTTCACCACTACCTGAGAATCACTAAAAACTTGGATTTTGCAGACCCCGAGTTTTAGTGCCATGCTCAGCCCTACTATCAGTGCCTCATAGTCTGCTACATTGTTGGTGACCGAGAAACCAAACCTTAGTGCGTATGTATATTCTGCGTCGTACTCCTTCATGCTCTCGATGTCGGGATCAGCCGGAGGTTTGGATAATATGATGCCGGCTCCTCCCCCTTCATCGCAACGAGATCCGTCGACGTATAGTGACCAGGCTCGAGGGTTGATTTGACGCGAGTAGTGGGATCATCTTTAGGCTCCGTCGTTTCCTTGACTTTGATAGCTTGAGGCGTTTCTACTAAGAAATCTGCAAAGGCTTGTCCGTTGATGGCTGATCGAGGCTTGTATTCAATGTGGTGCTTGCCCAATTCGACTGCACATTTCATCATTCTGCCGGATGCTTCTGGCTTTAGTAGGACTTGCTGAATTGGTTGTTCCGTTAAAACCATGATGGGGTGTGCTTGAAAGTATGGGCGCAGACGTCATGCGGCTAAGACTAGGCTGAGGATAAGCCTTTCCATGGGTGTGTAACGGGTTTCCGCTCCTTGCGAGACTTTGCTAACAAAATAGACGGGGACTTCTCTGCCGTCTTTGCGCTGCACGAGCACTGCCGAGACAGCTTTCTCTCGAGCCGCCGGGTCAATGTATAGTGTTTCTCCTGGCTCAGGCCTGGCTAGTGTGGGCAACTGCTTGAGGTGCTCTTTCAGGTCTTAGAAGGCTTTCTGGCATTCTTCATTCTACTCGAATTTTCTGCCCTTGCAGAGGGTATGGAAAAATGGAAGGCTTCTCTCTGCGGCTCGAGACAAAAACCTGTTCAAGGCCGCCAAGGAGCCTGTGAGTTTTTGAACTTCCTTGACGGTTTTTGGAGCTTCCATGGCTAAGATAGCCTCGATTTTAGCCGAATCAAGACTTATTCCGTCCTTGGAGACTTGGTATCCTAGGAATTTTCCTGACCCTACGCAAAAGGTGCATTTTTTAGGATTCAGCTTCATGTTAATCTTGCGTAGTATTGTGAAAATCTCCCGCATATCTGCGGCCACTTTCTTATCCTTATTGGTCTTTATCACCATGTCGTCTATGTAAATCTCGATGTTCCGGCCGATTTGGTCATGAAAGGTTCTGTTTACGAGACGCTGGTATGTGGCTCCAGCATTTTTCAGTCCAAAGGGCATCTTGTCGTAGCAGTATACCCCTATCTCGGTGATGTAAGCTGTCTTTTCTGCATCTTCCTGTGCCATGAGGATTTGATGATATCCCTTGTATGCATCAAGGAAGCTGAGAACTCTGTATCCGGCAATGCCTTCTACCATTTGGTCTATGACTGGTAGAGGGTAGCAGTCCTTGGGGCAATGTTTGTTAAGCTCAGTGTAGTCTTGGCACATGCGCCAAGAGTTGTCGGGTTTTCGTACTAAGACCGGGTTGGCTAACCAAGTAGGCCATAGGACTTTTTGGAGTATGTTGGCACAGACTAGCTTCATTGTTTCCTCGTTGATGACATCGTTACGTTCTCGAGCAAATACTCTTTTCTTCTGTTGTACTGGTTTGACATTTGGATCAACATTTAGCTTATGTTCCATGACTTCTCGAGGGACTCCTGTCATATCCGCTGGGGACCAGGCGAATATGTCATGGAACTCGCGCAGCAAGGTGCTGATCTCGGCTAGCAAGGGGTCTTGGAGAGAAAACCCAATTTGAACGGTCTTGGTGGGATCAGTCTCACTCAGGATTAATTCTCGCGTCTTGCTGCTGAACGAGGGAAGGCTGGAGATCTCGGGATTTTCCACCTCTGGTGGGTTGACCGTTTGTCGAATTGAGTAGCATTCTGACACGGCGGAGCCTGGGTTAAGGTGTGCGGTCTTCTTTGTGATTCTAACTGCAGTGAGCAAGCACTCTCGAGAGCTCCGCTGGCATCCTTTCACTACTCCCACTCCATACTCCGTTGGGAATTTCATTACCAAGTGATAGGGAGACCATATTGCGCGTGCCTGGCACATCCAGGGTTGCCCTAGGATCATGTTGAACGGCGAGGGCGCATCTATTAGGGCGAAATCCATGGTTAAGGTGACCGTCCTAGGATGCGACCCTACCGAGATGGGTAAGCTAATTATTCCTGTGGGAATAATGGTGTAACCTGAGAATCCCATCAGTGGCATTGTAGCTGGGCGGACACAAGCGTTTTTGATATTCATTTTCTTGAAGCAATCACTATATATGATGTCGACTGCGTTGCCGTTACCCACATAAACCCTTCCGACCTTCACGTTTGCGATTATTGCTTCTATAACCATAGCGTCAATGTGGGGACAAATGTCTGGGACCACATCGCTATCTGTGAATACAATGGCCTCCGTTCCTTTGAACCTTTTGTGGCTAGGCTCTTGTCGAGGAGTTTTGGTGACGGTTCGCAATGAGTTCTTCATGGCTGTAGTGGATAAGACTTCAAGGGCAGCTCCGTAAATAGCTCCTACCTGGTGAGTGATTAGCTTCGTTGGATCCGCCGGGGGGAGTTGTTGCAGTGGCTGTGGTGCTGCTTCAGTGATGGGATAGTGTTGTTGTTGGGCATTGGTTCTCGGTTGCCAATTATTTCCTCGTCCATCCCGCCGTGGTGGGCCTCTAAAGTTTCTTTTAGGGTAATCTCGTGACTAGGGTCTGTTATTCTTCTGTCGGGAGGCTGTTCCTTGCACATATTGCTGAAACTTCCCAGACTTGACCCCACTCTCGATTTCACGCTTAAGCTTTCGACAATCCTCCGTGTCGTGGCCGTGATCTTTATGATACTCACAATATTATTCAGTTGATCTGTTTGGATTAGGTGCCAAGGGTTTCGGAGCTGGAAATTCGTCCCTATGGATTTGGAGGATTTCTCGTCGGGGCTTGGTTAAGGGTGTTAATTGCCTTTCCATCTTGGGCAGCGCCGGTTTGTTTTCTGGGGGATTCTCATCTTATCCTTTGGTCCTACCGAGGCGAAGGGTTCTTGGGACCTCTTGAGTGTGTGTTCTCGTTGTATGTGGTTCTCGACGATGGCCCACATCTCTTGAGCATTCCTAGGGGGTTTGGTCGAGAGTTTAACTCGCAGCATTGAGGATTTCCCGAAGGGGTTAAGGCCTTGGATGAATCCGTTGCGAACATCTCGATCGTCGATGTTGTTGACCTGCAAGGTTTCTTTTATGAACCGTCTGTGAAAGTCGGTTAGACTCTCATGCTGTCCTTGTCTGACTGAGGAAAGGTCGATGGACATCCGCGATATCCGTTTGCTCTGGAAGAATCGAGTAGCTAGTTTGACGGACAAATCTTCAAAACTGGTGACGCTTCCTTCTGGTAATTGCCCAAACCATCACTATGCTGACCCGGATAAGTAGGAGGGTAACGCCTTTGCCATGAAGTTCATGGTTGCGTTTTGGATCCTCATGACTTGGACATACCCTTGTAGCCATTGGGAGACATCGGTATCTCCTGAATATGGCTTGAATTCTTTAGGGAAGTCGAAGTCTCGGGACTTAGGTTCGTCTCGAATGCTGGGGATGAAGGGGCTCAGGTCTAGCCCTATCCCGATGATCTTTCTTATTTCATCTCGGATCAAGGTATTCTGGTCTCTTGTCCCTTGCTGATCTCCTTGGAAATATGGGGGATTTTCTCTATATCGATTATGCTGCTGATGTCTTGGAGGCGAATATCGAGGATGGTGACGGTATTCTTGATCATAGTTGCCCTCGATATTGTTGTGGCCTTGGTGTGGTTCGTAACCATGCCTGTATTCACCTCGTCGTGGACTTCTCCGATTCCAATTAAATTCTAAGCGATTATGTGCGTTAGTTCGCCTTGGGGGGTTTCCTTGTTCCCCTTCGACGACCTCGACAGTCGGGGGGTCGTGATTCTCCCGAGTGTCCCTACGTTGGTATATTGCGTCGAATTCCTTGAGAGCAGTATCGAATACTGGGTATCTTTCTTTGAAAGCGTTCCAGAATATGGTATCTCTGGTAGCGTACGAGCGTTCCTCGTGGGGGTTTTCGTACCCCTCGGTTTCTTGGTAATTTTCCTGCTCTTGGACTTTTCGCTTGGCCCGCTTCTTCTCGAGAAGGACTAGGGTTCTGCGAGCTTCTCTTTCGTCGATCAAATCTTCCTACTCTTGTTCTGTGGGGTCCGGTTGTCCAAGGAGGCAACGCCGCCTGGTTTCTTGGAGAACATATCTCCACATCCTCTGTTGTTGATCGCTGTCATCGCCTAGCTTCTTGAGTTCGGCCTCGATCCTAGCTAATTTCTGATCCTCCAAACGCTTGGTGGCAGCAGGGGTATTCCGAGGAATAGGTATATCCTCTTTTTCAGGTGGAAGATTGGTTTTGTTTTGTTTTTCCGGATCGGGGTGAGAAGTACCAAGAACCAAACGCTCTTTTGTTGGTTCTTTCCCTAGTTCTCCACCGTGGCTCTTTCCTATCTTCCTCTTTTCTTGCCGGCGTTGGAACTCGGCCAGAGGGGTGTCGTCTCCTAGACTATACTGGTGGGCGGAGGATGCTGTGCTGCCGGCGTCTTCTTCAACTCTGACCATCGTATTGATTATTCCGGCAACCCTAGTTTGTGTGGAAAGGTGTTAAGGAAACCTGAGAAGGCTTCTGTGACACAAACCCTAATTTTCGGGTCTCACTGGGCGTGCTACTTGACGATGCTTGGATATGCGCCGCCGGTTTAGCGGTGGAACTCCGGTTAGGGTTTCCTGCAAAACAGGGTCTCGGGGTCTCCCGAGGGTAGACACTCTGATGCTTAAATCAATAAAAGGGTTGCTAGAAAGTTTAGAAAGGTAGTTTGTTTGGATATAGATTGCGTAACTGTATTGTAGTATGAGCTACCCTATTTATAGGTATGAAATTACCTGGGCAATTTCCGAATCCAACTAGGTTTCAGGAACTTACACCGCCCTAAGAGTCCCGGTTGGACTCTTTCTTCCGTTGGCGGGCTGGTCCAGTCTCGGTGATGGATATGGACTCATCAAGTATTATAAAGATTCAAAAATTAGTGGACAAATTATTTTTAATATAAGTATTATAAAGTTTCAAAAATTAGTGGACAAATTATTTTTAAATAGGATAATTAAATCAAAATTAACCATCAAATCTATGTTAATAAAACCAAAGACTTATACTTATATGTATATACACACGGGAAAAAAATCTCCTAACCAAACTGTGATACAAAGTGAAATAATCCAACAACTACATTTTATTATTAGTAATAGTATTTTATTCTAACTATACAACTCTCTTTCAAAGTAATATATTTTTCAAATTATTAAATTAATATATAATATATTTATGTTGTGCGGGGTTAATACTAGTGGTAATAAATAGAAAAGTTAGTAATAGCGTTGGTGGGCAATTCAAAGAGAAATACATTAATTCACTGTATTTACGATCCTATTATTTTCATTTTAATCTGACCGATGATGTATAAGCTAATATTATTATTCATGTGGAATCCTGAAATTTGAGGAGTTAATTTCCATCAAATACTAGATGCACAGATTCTGAGTCTTATAACAAAAATCAAACACTTTACTGATCCCTCCATTGTCGGTCATAACAAGAGAGAGGTTTTCAGCACCCTGAAGGACACTATATGGAAGATATTACAAGGCTGGAAGGAGAAGCATTTGTCTAGGGCAGGTCGAGAAGTTCTAATTAAATCTGTGATCCAGTCGATTCCGACCTAGTCTATGTCTTGTATTTGGATTCCGGAGAGATACTTACTGAGATTCAGAGCATGGCTGCAAGGTTTTGGTGGGGCAGCTCGGATTCTAAACGGAAGCTGCATTGGTTCTCTTGGGACAAACTGGCAGTGCCTAAATCTAGCGGAGGACTGGGCTTTCGGGACCTACGAGCCTTCAATTTGGCAATGCTTAGAAAGCAAGCTTGGCGTTTGCTAACTAATCCATCAGCCTTACTCTCTCGGGTATTTAAAGCAAAATGCATACAGATGTCTTGAACTCCACATTAGGCTCTAGACCATCATGGTTTTGGAGTATTTTTTAAAGTAAGCAGGTGATTAATCTCGGCTGCAGATAGCTGATTAGATCAGGAGAAACTACACGGGTCTTCTTCGACCGTTGGATACCATTGCCACCAGATTTTCTAGCTCCAAGGACAAATAACGTGTTACCTCTTGAAGCCTCGGTCTCAGAACTAATGCACATGGATGGTGGCTGGAACTCTGAGCTGGTCTTCTCGGCTTTTCCACATAACATTGCAGAAGCCATTTTATCTCTGGACATTGGTTTAGCTACTGGTCCAGATTTTTGGAAATGGCATCACACAAAGAGTGGCCGGCACACTGTTCGATCCGCGTACCACGCCGTTATGACTACTCGAAACATTCCGACGGCAGCAGGACCTAGTCATCAGCTTCTTGCAGCGGATTCGGGGGCCTCTTGAAACATATTTGGAAGCTGAAAATCCCCTCTCGAGTGAAGCACTTTGCATGGTCTCTCTGTACAGAATCTTTGCCATGTCCAGAGAATTTATGCCGCCGGGCAACCCCTGTGGGTTCTGCAATGCTGAAGATGCATCTACTTCGCATCTTGGACTTGTCCCTTCTCGATGGAAGTTTGGCGTTTGTCTGGATTTGCCAATCATATTCTCCAACACCAGCATACCAGGGGAGCTATTTGGTTTGCTACTCTTATTGTGCAACTGCCGATGGAGGTAATGGAGCTATGGTTCTGCCGCATTGCCGCAACATGAAAATGCACGAAGGGGTCATATTTCCAGCCTCACAGCTCGTTGCTTCAGCAGGTGCAAATCTCAGATCTTTCGACCAGGCGAACCAGTGGTCAGAAAGGCCTTCACAGTTGCTGGATCACAGTGCTTTACTTGGACGCATTCCTACAGGTCCACGAGTATGGTTCAATGGTGCAATCTCAAGGTTGAAGGGTTCAGCGGCTATTGGCACGTGGTGTGCATCACAATATGGGGCATTTCGTCGAGCTCGTTCTCGTCGGAAACAGGGCATTCGTGACTCTTTTCTTGCTGAAATACTAGCTCTGCGGGAAGCCCTTGATCTCGCGGAAGCCGAAAAGCTCCAAGACTTCACCATCCAAGGGGATTCCATCAATGCTGTTCTCACACTCCATGGTTTGTCCCGACATATGCTTACACATAGTGGAGGATCTTCAGCTGCGTCTCTCTACTTCGTAGGACAGAGAACTCGGTAGCTCATCAACTAGATTTTATGCTAAGAATAGTAGCTCTCTGTACGAAGAGTGTTTTATACCACCCCATTCTGTCAATGGCAGTTGGGCGATTCCCAACGATCTTAATAATATCTCCAATTTTTTTTTAAAAAAAAAATCAATCACTTTACTTTTTTTTCTAATTTTTAGTATAAATTTTAAATTCAATTTGGACTAGAGAAGTTGTAGTATGCATATCTGAAGAGAAATAACTTTATGAAAGAAGATGAAATCATAAATTGTATTGTGTTCAGCAGTACATTACATTACTTCTATTTATAGGCATACATCAACATTAGTTAAGATTTAGATATTATAAAATCTGAAATAATCTAAACAAATAGAATCTAAATAATCCTAACTAATGAGATCTTTGACTAATCTTATCAGGCCCCCGCAAGCTCATAGGCGAAAGAACAATGAGCTTGTCTCGAAGTTGAAGAAAAGTCTTCGTACGCAGCGCTTTGGTCATAATATCAGCAATTTGGGCAGCGGACGGAACATGCTGAATAATAGTAAGAGCTTTTTGACGAACCAAATCACGAACAAAGTGAATGTCAATCTCAATATGTTTGGTGCGTGCATGAGATACTGGATCAGCAGTATGGTAAATAGCTCCTAAATTATCACACCAAAGAGTAGGAGGTAATGAAGACAAACCAAGCTCACGGAGGAGAGAAGAAAGCCAACATAATTCAGCTGCAGCAAAAGCAAGACTGCGATACTCAGCTTCGGTACTTGAACGAGCAACAGTCGGTTGTTTCTTAGCACTCCAAGAGATGAGATTAGAACCCAAAAAAATGCAATAGCCGGAAGTGGAGCGGCGGTCATCAGGGCAACCAGCCCAATCAGCATCAGCAAAAGCAGTAATTGAAAGAGGGGAACTCTTTGTAAGATGTAGGCCATGGCTAGGGGTAGAACGTAGGTAACGAAGTATACGCTTAACAACTGACCAATGAATATCAGTGGGACAATGGAGGAATTGAGACACTTTATTAACAGCAAATTGGATATCAGGACGAGTGACACAAAGATATTGAAGAGCACCAACAGTACGCCGATACTCTGTAGGGTCAGATAAAGGTACACCATGATTTTTAGAGAGAGGTAAGGTGGGGGTTATGGGGGTAGAGACGGGTTTGGATGTGTCGAAGTGAGTGCGAGTGAGAAGATCTTGAATATACTTAGATTGAGAAAGAAGAAGGCCGGTGGATGTAGATTGAGCTTCAATACCCAGAAAATAATGAAGAGAACCAAGATCTTTGATGGTGAAGGTAGAATGAAGCTCATCAATGAGAGATTGAATGAAGGAAGAAGAGGAACCAGTCACCAAGATGTCATCCACATAAACTAGGACAAAAGTAGTGTGTGAGGACTTAGACAAGATAAAAAAGAGAAGTGTCAGATTTAGAGGAAATAAAACCAAGAGTATGAAGTTTCTGACTAAGACGGTGAAACCAGGCTCTAGGAGCTTGTTTGAGACTATATAAAGCTTTGTGAAGACGACAAACATGATATGGATATTTTGGATCAACAAAGCCCGAGGGTTGACTCATATATACGTCCTCATGAAGATTACCGTGGAGAAAGGCATTGCTCACATCAAGTTGACAGATTGGCCAATTTCGATTAAGAGCAATGGTGATGACAATGCGAATGGTAGTGGGTTTGATTACCGGACTGAAAGTATCTGTGTAATCTATGCCAGGAGACTGATGGTAGGCTTTAGCTACTAAAGGAGCTTTATAGCGCTCAAGAGTCCCATCGGATTTTCTTTTAGTTTGAAAAACCCACTTACAACCCACAATATTAGCATTAGGAGGAGGAGAAACTAGAGTCCAGGTTTGATTACGTTGAAGAGCATTAAACTCTTCAAGCATAGCTTGATGCCAGTGAGGAAATTTATTGGCCTGAGTAAAAGAGGTGGGGTTAGGTTCAGGAGGAAAAGTAAGAGAGGAAGTATAGGTAAGATAATCATTTAAACGGTTAGGCTTACGAGTTGTGGTACGAGTGGTCATGTGATGTCTTGGTGGTGGAGGTGGTCTAGGCGGAGAACTAGATGGTGGTGGAGGTGGTCTAGGCGGGGAATCAGATGGTGGTGGAGAAGAAAGCCTTGTTGAAGAAAGATTTTGTGTCGTAGGATTGGAAAAAGGTACAAAAGGAGGAGGAATAGACATTGGTAAAGGAAGAAACACCCGTGATGATGGAGTTGGAGAGGACGTAGAAGTTTGAGACGTAGCATAAGGAAAATCAGTTTCAAGAAATCTTACATGTCGAGAGATGTAAAGTTTGGAACTTTTGGGATCAAAGCAATGATATCCTTGTGT